AAAAATACTGACGAAATCGATGATTTGCTAAATAGCGTAAGTACTTCTTTCCATCTAAACTCTAAATTAAAAAAATAATTGAAAATACATAAATCTTCTATTTATTTTTTGACGCCGTGTCATGTATTATATTTTCTATTTTTATCAACATACATAATTCTTACCTTTTGCGTGTCATGCAAATGCGGTTGCGTTATTTAAAAGTTTTGTGCGTAGGATATACAGAAGGTTAATTATTAGACTTCTTGATATTTGTTTCTTATCATGATGCCCTTGAATGTTAAATTTTGTAAATATGGTCTTGATCTAAATTATTTTGTAATTCAGTGAATATTGAATTACCAATTTCGATTATAGCACTTAAAGTTTATTCATTATTAAAAGGAAGAATGTACAAAAATAATATTAGATTATCAGATGGGAAGGGAAGGGGAGGGAGAGAGGTTTGGTGTAAACCCAATGTGGAGCTCCAGTTATTGAGAGAATTTTTTTTTTCTATCACACAATCGTAAAATTTCCCAGTATATAAACTGCAGTGTCAAAATGTTAGAAAAAGAAGGAGAAGGGAGTGGAGGGCAACCCCCTCTGATGGCCTTCTCTCACTGCTCAGGTTCAGCTTCAACTTAACTTGCTGTCACTGATATAAGTACTTTCATATTTTTGACTAAATTAACAGAAGTCATTGTTATTTTAATTATAATTCCGACTACTTTTACCATGAATAAATCCAATACCTCTTAAGTTACAACTGGCTAAAGCTTAAAAACTGAATGCATAAAATATTATTATTCATCCTGTTACCAGAGATCATAGGACATATCATTAAAGCTTAAAGCTATATATTGGGAAGCATAAATAGAAATATTAGTTATACGCAATATTACAATATGGTCTGTATAAATTGGTTATGGGCCGAATATTCGTTTCATATTTGGTATTCGGCAGCTTTACCAAATATTTGTATTTGGCCACATATTTGGCTAAATATCCAAATATTTGTTAAAGTGGTGCTAAAGGTGTTGAAATGTATAAATTGAGTAATGCCATGTCTTTCATAATTTTACTGTTGAAAGTATATTAATTTATTTATGGGTGAAATTTACTTGTATAGTCTTATGTTTTTGAGGTACTGTAGATTTTTTTCAAATTATAGCAAGTAGAAAGCTTAATAAAATGTTTTTGAATCGAACAAAGAAACATTACATTAGTACATTACACTACTTTGGTCATCAGTTTCTCTAAAATAAGTTCAAATAATAGATCTCCTGCAACTCATTTTTATGATATAATTATTATTTTCACTAAGAATAACGAAATCATTTTTTTTTCACAAAAATAGACAAAACATAAGCATGTGCCGGCAATTTGCTCAGTACTAGATGATGCAATAACATGTCAGGTGTGGCGGAGGAGAGAGGGGCAGGGTCCGGCGCTAATCCTGTGTGCTTTACTGTAACAAGTTTCGACATAAATTGGTTAGGTACTGAGGTGATCCTGCCTAATAATGTTTGGCCGAATATTTGGTTCAGTAAAAGTTTTACCAAATTTGAGGCCGAATATTTGTATTCGGTGAAATCCATATTCTGCCCATCTGAAGTATAAATGCACTATAATTATATAAGAGTAGCCTGAATATTTTTTTTGTTTTACATGCATATCAATGTTTGCTTAACCTGTATGCTATAATCCATTTTGAACATTTGTTGCATTGATCAGATAAAATGTAACATTGAATTTTTCAGTTGTATATAGATTATCAATAATAATCTATGTAAACTGTTTTGTGGTTTCATTATTTTTTCATAAAATATAGATTGTTTGTAAATGGTTTTTTTTAATAGTTTAGGGTGACAAATGAGCACACAGTCCACCTGATGGTAAGTGGTTACTGTGGCCCATAGACATCTACATCTATCCTCGATTACAAATCAAAATGCAGATGCGTCGTCATCTGTTAGGACTAAGATGGAATGCCTCGTTTCCAGTAAAAAGGGTCTCCGGTTCGCTACACTCACCATACGAATCACAGCAGCATTAAGCTACTATTTGGAGCTGGTATTCTGTGAGAGCATGGTCCTTCCCAGGTCGAGCCGACCCATTTGTGCTACAACTATACTATGTACTAATATAACTGCAGCATGGCTCTACCACATAAAAAAGAGTTTCTTGAAGTGCTTGTTTGATGCAATAGAGGTGTGTAGTTCACTTACTAGTGCACCATGCAGCTATTAACTCGGCTTAAAGTATTGTTAGAAGAAAAATATTATTAGTGTCTAAGTGTATAAGTCCAACCTAAGAAATGCCACAGAGCATGATTGTGAGCCACCCGCATCCATCAATTCCCTGCATCTCTCACCAGGTTGTCTCTCCAGCTAGTGGGTAGCCGGTGTACATTTTACTTTTCCATCTGTTCTTTGAGCTAAGTGGCCGACCCATTGCCAATTCAGCTTACTGATGAGTTATGGCGATATGCAGAGAGTATATACTAGGGATGGGCCGAATATGGATTTCACTGAATACGAATATTCGGCCGAATGTTCAGTAAAAATTTTTCCGAATCGAATATTCGGCAGGATGACCTCGGTACCTAACCAATTTATGTCGAAACTTGTATCCGTAAAGCGCGCGGGATTAGCACCGAACCCTGCCCCTCGCTCCCCTGCCACACCTGACATGTTATTGCATCGTCTAGTACTAAGCATATTGCGGGCACATGCTTATGTTTTGACTATTTTTTGAGAAAAAAAGTATTTCGTTGTGTTATTCTTAGTGAAAATTGATAAGTATATGATGAAAATGAGTGGCAGGAGATCTACCTACTATTTGGACCTATTTTAGAGAAACTGACGGCTGTAATGTAATGTTTCTTTGTTTGATTCCAAACAAAATTTTATCAAGCTTTCTATTTGCTATAATTGCAAATAAATCTACAGTGCCTCAAAAACATAATGCTATATAAGTAGATTTAAACCATAAATAAAATATACTTTCAACAGCAAAATTATGAAAGACATGGCATTATTCAATTCATACATTTCAATACAGTGTATGTACTCTTTGAGTACCACTTTAATGAATGTTCAGTGTTCGTTCACCTCTAATATATACATGTATAAGTAATTTCATTTACTTGTGAAATGGATTAAGACTTTGATAAAAACGTTGATATTTACATTTACTGTACATGCTAAATTATAGATGATACAAGTGCATAGTATAAAAAAAGATACAGATATCCATATACACATGCTATCTCTTTATTACAGATCATATCGAAAAGAAAAAAAAACCAATTTTTTTAGTATTTATGTGCAAAATTACATATAATATTTTATTAAATCCTGTTTTTATTTATATCACCCTTTCATTATAACACATTTCTTGTGTAGACATGTCATTGACATTGCATCTTGTTATTTTAAGATTGCTAACCAACATGTAATATAACCTGTTTTCTTTGAATCTGCATTTTCCTCTAAGTTTTAGTTCTAATGAAATTCAGAATGATCTTATTGACCTTCTCAAGCAACATAGTACTGTAGGCGTCGATTATCCGAACATTGCTCAACCTAATAATTGCTCTGCAACCATACCATGCTGAGATGCGACAACCGCAGTAGCCCGCCAGTCAGAAATCGCGTTGTTCCAAACACGTAATACTTATTGTTTACACCTCACAAAAAGTGCCTGGATGAACCGTTCAATTTTCACGGAATGGCTTATAAAAGGTTTTGTTCTCACTGTAAAAATCCATCAGCTAAAGAGTGGCAAAAGAGAGAAAAATTTATTACTCCTTGATAATGCACCATCATCTATCATGTGACATCCTAAATGAAAAGGACGAATTTATAAAAGTGATGTTTCTTGAACCTAATGTAATTTCCTTATTACATCCCATGAACCTAGGTGTTATTGAAACTTTCAAGCTATACTACAGAAAAGATTTGCGTACGTAAGTTGTTGCGAGAAAGAAAAGAGGGCGAAGAAAGTCTAGTTAGAAATTATAAAAAGTTTGATGTAAAAGATGCATCCTACATGATTAGAGCAGCTTGGGACAGTTTAAAAGAACAGGCTTTAAAAAAAGCCTGGAATAAAATTTTGAGTATAGCATAAAGTTCTCAAAGCATAAGTGGAAATGAAGAACAGAATGATATGTCTGAAATGTTAAATATGATACAAGAACTCAATTGCCATGAATGTGATGGAGATGAGCATCTTGCTCAAGTTTGGATGACTGTCAACGATTCAGATCTAGGGCACCAATTCTTGTAGGATAGCGAAATTGTCGACCTTGATATCGTGAGTGACAAAGCTAATGCCACCAGCACCTCATCAAATTGTGGTTCAGAAATTGAAGTCAAAAATATTCCTACTGTTCCTGAAGCGTTACTGCTTTGCGAGGGTTTGAAGCTGAAGATGAAAGTGACTAGTATCATCTGATACTAGTCGCTTTCATCTTCCACTTCAGGACAGTTAGATGATACCTGACTGAAAGTGCGTGACTAAGATGCGTGTAAGAGGGTAGGTTCACTTCCACAGATCAAAATTTAAGACTTCTTTATGCATTAATTACATAGGCATGCAGTATGTTCAATATGGATTATTATAATAATGTTGCATGAATAAGTCAACTAGCGCCATCTAGTGTCAGGAACGAGAGCGAGGGGAGCATTGAGAAAATGACATCACAAATCACTCAACTGACAGCGCCTAGTCGAAACTCGAACGCTCGGTACCTTCCGCGTGTTTACTTGAACATTCTGGATATTTCTTTGCTAATTTAAATATATAGGCGCTGCAAGATGCGATGGAAGTAGTATTGAATTGGCGATACGAGCGAAGCTTCGGAGCGAAATTAAGTGAATTAGTGTGTTTAATTATTAGTGTTTTAAGATTTAATTTGTTTAAAGTAAATTAAAGTGTTAATTTAGGTAATTTTATCGGCAATTTTTATTGTCACGAACCTCAAGCTCGTAACAATAATAAATGTTTTTTGGATGATGGAATATGCAAAAACACGCAAAGGGCCGCTGCCTGGAGGTCGCCAGGGCGCGTCTGGTGCTGGCGCTGGACGCGACAGCATGCGAACCGCCAGCCGAGCGAGAGGTGCTGCACGACCACCCATCAGCCCCTCGCATCCATCATCCCCACCAGCTGGCTTGGTGTCGGCAGGGTCTTCGCAGGCCCAGCAATCGGCACCCGCCACTGGTGGAGTACGCCGCATGCGATGGACAACCGAAATGAATACTAACGCATTGCGGGCGTATTTTAGGGCGAAAGGGGGAGAAGTTGGAGGTTTGGCGTATCGGGCTAGGATGCATCGTCTTTTTGCTGAGCTGGAGCCATCTTTAACCGTCTCAGAGCAAAACCTGGCAGACCGGGTTCGATATATCTTGCGCTCAAATATATTTGATGTCGCCGAACTCGAACGACTACGACGTGAGGCTGTTCCCTCATCGGATGAAAATGCTACGGCGCCACAAATTGCAGAGCAACCCGCAAACGTGAATGCCGCCGTGAATACCCCAGTTGTGGTTGATTCAAACGATGATGGAACAGTCGCCCAGGAACTGGAATTAGAGCATATGAGGAGTACATTGGAAGAGGCGATTGTCGAAACGCGCAGTACGCCTCTCGAAAATCGACCGCGACTTCCCCGCATAGCCCTAAGCAAGCGGAATCGGGCTGTCGTGAGGGCTCTGAACCCAATGCTGGTGACCTATTTGGAAGCCAGCCGGGACCTTTGCGAGACGGACTCAATTCTTTTTGGCGCCGCACTAGCAGTGTGCCGTATTATAGGCGCCAAACTTTCCACGGCTGGACGCGCTACTGGACAAAGTAGCGCTCCCAGCCTGAGAATAAGAATTGAAGAACGTATCGCAAAGGCTAGGGCCCTCATCGGCAGACTTGCTTCAGGTCAGGCAACAACAGGCAAGGATTGTGCGCACCGTCAGGATGGCATTTGCTGGGACAAATGTTAGTTTGTCCCAGCCGGATATAATGCAAAAACTGACGGAGCGCATAGACGACCTGAAGCAGAGAATCGCTGCTTGGGGAAAGCGGATTCGGCGATATACCGAGAGGTCGACACGGTTTAACCAGAATCGTCTCTTCCAGAGTGATCAGAAGAGGCTCTATAAATCGTTGGAGCGACCAATGGTAAGTGGAACGGGCCCAGCACCGAATCAGGCCGACACTGTAGCATTCTGGCGCGGCCTGTGGTCAGAGCCCATAAACCACAGCGAGGGCCCTTGGACGGAAGTTGTGGCGAGTCAGTGTGCGAGTATAACGCCCATGGACCCCGTCATTATAACGCCGGATGACGTAGCTGAGGCGGTCCGTGGGGCCCCGAACTGGAAAAGTCCGGGACTCGACGGGCTGCATCACTACTGGCTGAAGGGGTTTGTGGTGTGTCACACTGTGCTCGCCCGACAGTTCCAAGAGGCTCTCAACCAGAAGTCGCTCCCGAGCCTCTTCACTACTGGGATCACTCATTTGGTTCCTAAAGACCAGGTTACCACAGACCCGAGCAAATACCGCCCCATCACGTGTCTGCCGACCATATACAAGACACTAACATCCATTTTGAGCGCGAGAATCACTCGTCACCTGGAATCAAATCAGGTGATGTCGCGCGCTCAAAATGGATGTCGGGGCGGCGTTCGTGGAACCAAGGAACCACTCCTCATTGACGCGGTCATTGGCAAAGTGGTGAACGAACGGAACAGCGTCGGAACTTCTCCGCCGCCTGGATAGACTACAGAAAGGCATTTGACTCGGTGCCCCATACATGGCTAAAGAGGATCCTCGAGCTGTACAAGATTGACTGTACAGTTCGAGACTTCCTCGAGCGGTGTATGGGGCAGTGGAGTACGATCCTCTGTCATCTAGGCGAGCGGATGACGGCTGCGGAAAGCCGCATAAGGATAAGAAGGGGTATATTCCAGGGCGACTGTCTGAGTCCAATCTGGTGCTGCCTCTCTTTGAACCCTCTCAGTACTTTACTTGAGGGTTCCGGGAGGGGATTTCAGCTTCGGAAAGGAGGTACAAAAGTGACCCACCTCTTCTATATGGATGACCTCAAATTATTCGCCTCCAGTCGCTCCCATCTTATGGAATTGCTAAACATCACTTGTGAATTTAGCAATTCTATTGGAATGGAGCTGGGGACGGATAAGTGTGCGGTCCTCCATGTTGAGAGGGGTAGGGTTGCTAACTCTGAGGGCATAGACTTATCTATGCCCGTCAACTTAAGGACCCTTTCCGAGGCTGAAACATACCGATACCTGGGTATGTCACAGAACATCGGTGATCGATGAGGCTGGTATGAAACAGTCAGTTTGCGACACGTTTTATGCACGCTTGACCAAAGTGCTTAACAGCCTTTTGTCCGGTGTGAATAAGGCACACGCATATAACGGCTGGGTCATGCCTGTCCTCATGTATACCTTTGGCATACTCAGGTGGACTCAGACCGAACTTAACGCCCTGGATAGAAAAGTCCGCACTACCATGACGTCCCATAGGATGCATCATCCGAGATCGTCGGTAATGAGGCTGTACTTGCCGCGAAAGCATGGTGGGCGTGGCTTCCTGAGCGCGCTCACCATGCATAATCGCGAAGTGTGCAGCCTCCGTAATTACTTCCTGGTGAGATCGGATGATCCATTCTATAATGACGTCATTTCTAGTGATAAAGGACTTACCCCTCTATCCTTAGCCAACGAGCAATGGCAGGACCCGGCAGTACTAAGCATTTCCGACCGGGAGACCGTATGGAAGGAGAAGGAGCTCCACGGGAGGTACTACAGGGCTCTACATGAGCCCCTCGTAGATACAGCCGCCTCCCTCAACTGGCTACGTTTCGGTGACCTCTTCAGGGAAACCGAGGGTTTTGTCTGTGCAATACAGGATCAGGTTATTAAGACCAACAACACGGAGTATCGGAGATACATCCTAAAGGATGGCACCGTCGACGTCTGTCGAGCTTGTCGCCATCCCGGGGAGTCACTTAGGCATGTCATCTCCGGTTGTTCGGCGCTTTCTAACTCTGAGTACTTGCACAGGCACAACCTAGTAGCCAGAATTCTACACCAGGAGCTCGCTCTGAAATACGGTCTCGTGGGCCGGAAAGTGCCGTATTACAAGTACTTGCCGGAAGCCGTGCTCGAAAATGACCGCGCCAGGCTCTACTGGGACCGGGCCATCATCACAGACAGGACTATTCTTGCGAATAAGCCTGATATTGTGCCGATGGACCGGGCACAGTCAAGGATATTTTTGGTCGACATTACCATTCCGTATGACGAGAACCTCGTGAAAGCCGAAACAGATAAACGAACAAAATATCTGGACCTGGCTCACGAGGTGACCGACATGTGGGGTGGTCTGCCGGCCGAAATTATTCCTGTAGTCGTCTCTGCGAATGGGCTAATCCCAGTCAGCCTCTCGGGTCATCTGAGGCGACTGGGACTCCGTGACGGACCGCTCCGGGCTCAAATGCAAAAGGCGGTGCTCCTCGATACCGCCCGCATCGTCCGCCGGTTTCTTTCCCTTTCCCCCTAACCCTCGGCCGTTTGGTCTCCCCCTGCCGAGGGCTTCCATCTGGTTGGGCTTTTATTTATTTATGTATTTATGTATTTATTTTATTTTATTGATATTTATGTATATTTATCTTTTCATTTTCATTTATAATTATATATTTATAGAACCCAACCAGATGAGAAAACTATATAGATACCCCAAAATAATAATTTTATTTATTTCAGACCATGGTCCATATATTGTTAGTAATGTTGTTAGTAACAATATTGGCTTAAAACTATGTTAGTATTGTAAGTAGTTACACATTATTTTAATCCTATGACTACGCCCACCCAGTGATTCTGTATGGGACAGTCATATCTTACAAGATATCGCTCTCAGGATGCTGTTATTACTGTTTCGTAAGCGTTGCAAGAGTGAGGCTGTTTTCTTCCGAATGATCGCTGAAAAAGTGTCAGTACGCAAACAACATCCTGAAAGCGTTATTATACTGTACGCGCAGAGCATTGTAAGCTCGACGCGTATATGTCACCCACAGGGCACTAGAGTAAAATGATTGACAAAACGCTTTGAACAGCGTTATTTTAAATGTATCTGTACATCTAGTGAACCTGCGAGCCAGCATATTGGCTCTCACTGTCAACGCCCTGCGCTCCCTTTCTATGTCCTCGTCATCCCGGAGGTCTGCTGTCACAATGTGACCCAAATATTTAAAACTGTCCACCAGCTTTAGAGGCACCCCATCGAGGGCTACTGGAGGCACACGGGAGGGCTGGTGTTTGCCTGCTTTGAACACAAGAAGTTGGCTTTTGTTAGCGTTATATTTAAGCCCGTGTGCTTCCGCATATGTCTCACATATTGACAATAAAGTCCTCAGTGCATTGATTGAGGGACTCAGCAGCACCATGTCGTCAGCATAGGTTATATTATTGAAGCAGACATCGTCAATATGACAGCCGACATGAGTACTACTGAGTCGCTCAATAAGCTGATTGACATACAAATTAAACAATAGAGGCGAGCTTAACCCCCTGTCTTACACCACATTGCAATCTATAAATATATATTCATTCGAAAGCTTACCGGCCCATCTCACTTGATTTTTCTGGTTTGAATACCAGAATTTGAGGAGGGAGATGCACTCCATCGGCACACCCGCACTTTTACGATTATACAATATTTTTTTTTTGTTTACTAAGCTATCTGAATTTATTTACATTTCTATTTACAAATGTACAAAAAAAATTGTATTACATATAAGTATATTTTCTTTGTATATTGGTACATAAAATTATACAGTTTGATTATCCAAATAAACTGGTTTTCCGAACACCTATGTCTCCCAATTACTTTGGATAATCGACGCTCTACTGTACTACCCGAGCGGTTAACGAATGGGATTGAAAATGGCGTTGCCTCTATTTACCTCTCGCTCGCATACTGTCGCTATCTATACTCATATCCGCTGATAAATACTGCAAAAAAAACTACATTGCGTCACAGTTACAATATGCTTTTTTCGTACGTTCTATAACTTCAGTCCAACTTATCATTGGAATCGATAATAACAATGCCATTAACTACAAAAAAAATGTCGTCGGGTTTCGCTAGTTTGTGAGCTACAACACCTTGTGTTGAGTTTTATTTATAATTATTGTAGATTTTGTTTGTAATATTTTTGTATAAATATTTACGTGCTATTGAGACATGATTAACCATTTAAAAAAAATCGTTTGTCTGTCTGTAAGAGCTAATCTTCGGATGGGTGAACCGATTGCAATAAAACTTGCAATGAATAAATAGAGTAATACCAGGAGGGAGACTAAATTTTATCCGAAAATTTTAAATATAAATTTTTGATACGATAAAATAACTGGTCTTTAATAATTATCTTAAGTCTAAATAGTGCCACCTTAATAGATTCCATCCAAGGGATACCAGAGCGCGTCGCTAGTTATAAATGTTATTTTAAAGTTAATGTTTACTTGAGTATACAATTCTTTTCAAATGTTTTCCCATTAATAGAAAATTTCGAATTATAATAATAAAAGTTATGGGGAAATATAACCTCAAATGGCTTAGCAAGATCCTCCGTTATGCCGAAAACATTGCAGCATTAATTTTGAAATAAATATATGGTAAAGTTGAGGATTAATGTTAAGGACTATGTTAGATGAAAACACGATGCAATTAAAAACATAACTTGTAAAAAAAACAAGTCTCGCAACTCAGTTCTTCTACCGTAAAAAGTTGTGAGATCCATGTAATACAAATATATCCTACTTAAGGGTCCTTCTGTTTTAAGTATAGCCTAAACATAAGTACCATTCAATTTAAGTCTTTTATGTTTTAAATATAAGATTGACTTGGCCATCCATGAAACCACAATGTATCTCACAAGTAATACGTATTATATTAAATTAGATTGCTTAATGCG